CAAGTTTGGAAGTAAATGTATTTAAGGTCCTTAGTTCGCTATTCCGAGCTACCTCTAAACCTTTCCTATGGCGTCATCGTGAGCGCAATCATGTCGCGTTATTGTGTCCGCAATCATGTCGCGTTATCGTGTGCGCAATCATGTCGCATCATCGTGTGCGCAATCAGGTCGTCCTATGGTCCGGAGATTCGATCGCGCAACGTGTGCTGAAAGCCGTTCTTCTAACAGGGGACAGATGAGGAAAACCACATCGTCAATTCGAGAGAGGTGCTCGAGTGCATGCGCACAAATAAGCTGTATGGTAATGTAGATAAGTGCATCTTCGGCGCTGAAGAACTTCTTTTAGGGTGCTTCATCGGAAAATGTGGCCTTCGAGCAGATCCCGCTAAGGTCAAGAATTGCGGACTGGCCGGTTCCAAAGAACCAAAAGGACTTGTGCAAATTATGCGGAAATGAAGCGGCCATTGTCGAATCTTCTTAGGAAAAATGTGGAATGGTGTTTGGACACCGAGCATCGGGAGGCTTATGACAGGGTCAAAGACAGACTCCTTCAAACACCAATACTGACGTTGCCATTCCCCGATCATTCTTTTAATATCGTCTGTGACGCTTCGAAGTTTATCATTGGCTCTGCACTGCTGCACACAGACGCCGAGGGGCGAGATCGGGTGATCGCGTTTGAACCTCGCCAGCTTAAGGCTGCGGAGTGGAACTACTCAGTCCACGACAAGACGTTACTTGCGATGAAGTAATCACTTGTCAAGTTGAGAATGCACCTGCTTGGCTCAGAGACGTTTGTGATCTACACAGATCATGCGTCATCACGCACTGCGACTCACACCGAGAGTTTGTATGGAAAATTTTTATCCTTCCCAAATGCGGAAATTTGAGATGACTGCGGATTTGGCCTTGCTATAAAAGAACTACAACACAACGAACTTGGACTACCTCAGCAAAAGAATTGTTTCTAATGTGAGACGAATTGAAGCGACAAATATTCATGGTGTTTGCACTCCCTAACCAGACTAATCGAGTTTGATCAAAGTTCTTGTCTACCCATCAATGAACGCGAGAGCTGGCGGACTATGTCCGGGGACTCCTTCAATCGCCACAATGAAATCTGACTCTCTTTCGATGGCAATGTCACATACCATCTTAATGGAAAAACTCTTACGGATGCGTCTTGCATCGATACCTTAATGGGACGATAAAGATGCTGAGGCTGTTATCCTCTATGCCAGGGGTGCAAGGAGTAAAAGCGACTAAATGTCTTGATCTCCCGAGTTAGAGTCGGTGAGTTTGATGGGCGACTATGATCCGCAAGTAAAAGGGTCAGACCCTGGAGATAAATTGATGACCTATCCTTGTCACAATGTGACGTTACTATCAAGTCAGTGCTACCGAGTGATGGGCGGCAACTCGTAAAAGAAGGTGACGAGGTTGTCCTAGGTTCGTGAGTCTTCCCTCAATTCTATCGGCAAAAGTCGTTATCAAGCTGAAAAAAATTCTCCGGAGATACGGTATTTATCACTGAAATACAACTGTTGGTGCGAACAGAGAAAACTGAGCTCATCACCCGTCATTAAGAATCTTTCATTGAGGATACTCGAAGAGCACTGAGTGCAATGAGTGGTATAGTTTTTGCTTAGTATCCTACAAATTCATTTTATCCCTGATTGAGCGGTAGATCATGACGAGAGATTCACCACGTCTGTTACCGCCGGATAAACATACGCGCCATTTATT